TATAAAAGAAAATAAGAAAATAAAGATTGATTAAAGATTCAGTCACGCTCGCTCTGTTGCTCACTTCAGCGAGCACAGCAGCGAGGAGAGAAAAATTGCTCGCTGACACTTCAGCTTGCTGGCCCAAAATTAAAGGCCCAGTTTTAAGCCTTTAAATAGAACGCGATTAAGGCCGTGAAAAGACATTCGGAAGACTAGGCAGAGGAGCACTAGGGGAGACAATTGCAGAGCAGAAGGAAGAAGAGAAAATCAAGAAATCACCGTGGAGTTTTCTTGCTAAGTCTTATGAATCTTCATAGTTTCTTTTCATCTATTGTTCTGGTTTTCTTTAAATAGTTAGGGAGAAACGAAACCAATGGGTTCTTAAACGTTGTTTTGCCTTTCTTATGATTTATATTCTTGATTTAAAGTTATGCAATTAAATTGTTTTAAATTCCAAGTCTCGTTTATGATTTGGTCAATCTTGAATAGGCATTAGAATCTTGCATGACAATAGGGATGTTGGTGTTTTGATTCCGTTTGGTTAATTGCTAGAATTTGTATGATCTAGGGATAGATTTATGAATTCTATAACTGTAAGGTTCTTGCGTTAATGCTTGCTTTATGAAAAAGTACTAAGGGATTAGGTTTTTGAGTGAAGTAAAGGATCAGATTATCAAAAGATTGGGATCTAATCAAACATAGAAAGAACTGTTAATAACTTGATCTTGAATCTTAATTATAAGAATAGGTAAACTCGTTAAGGAAACATTGGGGAAGTTGAGTCCTAGCTACGTCTTTTATTAAAACTTAAAACCAATTTTCTAGCATTATTAATTCTGAATTTAATTTCTTAAATATTGAAAACTAAAAATAAGTTTAAAAATTCTGTTTTAATTAAATTAAAATATTCTAAAGGAAACTTTTCACGATCGATCCAACTTTAATTAAATAGATAAATTAGTTATTGGTCATCAGTTCTCGTGGGATTGACAACTTTATTTTATCACTTTATTACTTGTAGGATCGGTGCACTTGCCGAAGTCACAACAAAACCCAAAACAACGTCGTTTTGAAGCATAAATCAAGGTATTTTTATAATTACAATTTATTTCAAGGTTATAATAGTCTTTCTCATTATAATTTTTAATTTTTCAACCTAAAACGATGTCATTTTGAGAGTGGATGTAGATAACTTATCTACATTCACCATATAAACATTAAAATCATATAATAAATTAAGGGTTTAACTTTTCTTCATTTAATGCAGAAGAATTATCTGTAGTACATTATGTACTACGGGTAGTATATAGTGTAACTTTTGAAATCTAAACAAAGAAATAGTTCATTTCAAAATTACAATATGTACTACCCATAATACATAGTGTACTACTGATAACTTTTTTGAATTAAATGCGAAAATATTTTTTCCATAAATTAAAGGATCGACTATTTTCAAAGTTGCTTTGCATCCTACCTAGGTAATACATTGAATTCCAAAACTAATCCAATTAAATTATTAATATCAGTGATTTGAGTAGTGTTTTGAACCAGCCGGATGATCCTAATTGGGCGTCCATATGGACAGTCTGACAAGACTAACTCACTAGCTTGCTACAAGACAATTTTTTCATTTTACACATGATTATTTCCAACTCCTAAATACACATAAAGAGTGGGGCTCACAAGGCTGAAAAATAATTATGGCATTCTCCATGTTATAAAATCACACACTCCTTCTTAATTAGAGGAGGCATTTTTATCTCCATTGCTCTCCTCACTAGGACTAGCCTAGTGGTAAGGAGATGGATAATAAGTGTTGTGTTCGATTTTCAATATTAAAAAAAAATCTACTAAAATCAGGATTCATCAACCATAATGAGCCCATACATTTTCCCCTTAATCCTTAGCTTGCTTGCATTTTCATAGATATACTATTGCCTCTCTTGTGACTATTACGTTTATCTACTCCAACTTTAATGAAAAACATCTACTCCCTCACCCCTCTAACAAGTTAAAGTCGGCCGTGGAAGAATCTCGCTTTAACATCATTTAGATCGCAACTGCATGTGCAGTGCATTCCATTCATCCCTCTTGTATTTCTTTTCTTTTTAGTTGTGGATTAATGGTCCAAATAAAAAAGCTTTTGGGAAAGTAAGGCTGAGATTTATTTTTTCCTCCTAACCACGTCATGATGAGGTTCGAGACAAGTTGAATTTAGCATTTTAATTTTATATTATAAGGAAGGTTATACTTACAATTTTTTTTTTACAATCATATCTTAACACCGTTGATTTCTGTCAATCAACGGTTATCATTTATTGTGAATTAATAATTAATTAATGAATTTAATTTGCGAAAATCATAATCATTAATTGACGGAAATCAACAGTTATGATATATGATTGTAAGAGATTGTAAAAAAAAAGTTGTAACTATAACCTTCCTCTTATGTTATATTTAAAAATCTTTGCGATAAGGATAGTAGATCGTAAGTGTAAAGTCCATTTTTGCAATTTTATCTTTTTTGGGTACACCATTTGTAATTTTGTACATTTCTTTCTAGTCGTTGGTTCCTTGGGCGTATTTACAATTAAGCTGTACTCAGTGGCCACTACTTTTTGCAAGTATCCACTTCAGAGTTAACATAATATTGATGTCAGCCACAATTTATTTTACTTTTATACGTATATGTTTATTTAATCCTGCTTTCAAGATATAATTATGAGTAAACACCCTTTTTAGTCTTTGGCAATATCTACGAAGTCCTTTTCAGTCCCTGGCAATAAAAAAGGACCAAATTGGTCCCTTAAAGTACAAGAAAAGGGCCACTCTACATATTTTGGAGTTGACATAAGGACTAATATGGACTTTTTTTGTAATTTCAGGGACCGATTTGGTCCTTTTTTATTGTCAGGGACTAAAAAAGACTTCATAGATATTGACAGGGACTAAAAATGATGTTTACTCTATAATTATTTTCGTTTGAACACTCCACTAGCGTGGTCATTTTCTGCATAATTATCATAAGATCACTAATAATAATCAGACTTGGTCAAATAAGCAAATGGGCCACTCTTTTAGCTTTCATGAGCCCAACTAACCTCAATTGGATATGCACATGGTGTAAGATTTAGCACTCCGGCCAAGGATTGGGTGCTCCATTAAGCCCATTAAGACATGAAGATTGCAATGCAGGTAACTCTTTCCAAATATAAGTAACTTCAAAAAAAAAAAAAAAAACTTTTGTTATAAATCCTTACAGGTTAACTTCGTGAACTTAATAAATGGTATACAGTAATGTAAAAAATTTTAAAAAAAAAAATTTGTAAGTAGAATAATGTAAAATTTACCCTATGGTATGTATAAAATAAACTTCATATAGAGTTTTTATATGAACAATTTGGTATAATCAATGATTAATTTGAATTATGAAATTTTAAATCACAAAAAAAAAATTCTCTACATTCAACATTTTTTCTTCCATGATAATTTTATGTAAGTCCATACAGCTCATTTTAACAGGAATTTAAATGTGAGTTGTAACATTTCACATTGATTATAAATGTATTAAATAAGGATATATAAATAGAATGACTCATGAAATGCTTTAAGTTTTTTTAGTAGGTTATTTAAGGTTTTGAGTTGAGATGTAGTACAATGGGGAGCGCAAACAAATGTTAAGACTCAACTTAAGGGGAGATATATTTATGAAAATCCATGAACTTAATATTTTAAGATTTTGAGTTGAGATATGATATTAAGCCAGTTTATAATGGTTCATTTGTCATTTAGCTTATTAATGAAAATCCTCATCACATTGATGAAATGTCTTAAGCTAATTTAAATACATGATAACAAAAAGAAATATGATAAAAACTTGTTCTGAACCAGTATATTGGGCAGATATCTAACCCAATTCTTTGTATCAATGTTGTTTAAAATTGAGATCTTAAGTAAAATCGAAAGGGAATTAAAAAATCGTAAAACATAAAATTATAATATAAAAAATTCGTAAAAATGTAAAAGCATTTGGAATATTAGTAAAATCGTTTTGATGAAAAAAAATCGTAAAAACATAAAATCGTAAGGATAAATCAAGATTTTAACAACAATACTTTGAATTCTACGTCAATCTCTCTGTGTAACTGCTCAAGGTTATTCATTCATATCAAATAATATCTTCTAGAAGATATTATATGATCCCACAATTACAGCAATACATTATTCTCATTTAATTATGCTATAAGTATTGGATTTTTATTTCTATGTATTCATCTAACTTAATTCCATTCTCCACTCTAATTTGATACTAACTTAAGAATCATAGTCCATCTAAGTACACACTACACACCCCTCTTTGTGTCAATGAAACACTATATGCCATCAATCACAACAATACAAGAAGATCTTGACCATCAAGCTATTATTTTTAAGGTAACCGTTCTGAATAATACTAATCCAAAAATGCTCAAATCAGAAGGGTGATCAAATAGTGTTTGTCTCCTACCCAAACAAAAAATTGTAAAAAGTAAAATTTCTTCCTAAAAAAAGTATTTCTAGCCGCATAATTTTTTTCGACGGACTAAGACTTACGGAATTATGGGGAATTACATTATTATATAAATTTTTGTTTCAAATTGTACAAATACAAAATATGATGGGCACACTCCCAATTAATTTTAAATCCAAATTACAATCTTCATAATTCCTTTGCTTGTGTTGTGACCCTATATTTTGATCCAGGAAATAAAATAAAATATATTTATTATATTGTGTGAAACAAATTATCTCGTGCAACATACAAAAAAGTGATTTGAATCCATTAAAAAAAAAGAGAGAAAAATAAAAAAAAATGAATTTTACTCATTTTTTTATGTGTTGAATGATACAATTTATTCTCCTTAAAATAAATCAGAAAACCAGTCATACATTGTTTTTAATCACGACCATTACACGATAACTAAAATGAAACAGAAGAAGAAAAGAAAAACTAACTTATAAAGTATAAACATCTAGACAAACAAATGAAGAACACAATATATATATATATAAAATCAGGGTCATTAAACAATAATAAAAAGGGAAATTAAATATCTAAACTCATTTTCTCTGACATAGAACCCTTCCAACTGCTGGACACACTCCATTGGTCGGAATTCGCCACCGACGCCGGCACCCCTTTGCCGCACTTCGCCACCGTCCTTACACTCTCTATCAACGCCTCCGTGTTCGATTCCTGAGACAAAATCTCCGACAGCTTCTGGGGGCTTATTACCAACTTGACCTTCCACACTCCGCTACTGTTGTACCTCGGAAACACTTCAGGTTCCGACCACATGTTGTTGTTGTTATTGTTGTTCTTGTTATTCTTGTCGCACGTAGACATACGGTACGGTGTTAAGGTTTCTACTGTGTCATCTAGGTTTTTGTTTGTGCCCTTGCCAGAAGAAGAAGGGTTGAGAGGGAGGAGGTAGTAGATTTCACCACCATGAAGCTCTTCGTTTTTGGCGAGTGGCAATGAGTCATGGCGGCTTTGGAAGATTCCGTTTCCAGGGAACTCGTTGGTTATGTACTCAACGGTTATGGGAGTGTAAAGCTCCATGATGCCACCGTTTGAGGTCACCACCTTCACCATCATGTCTTCTTGCAGAGGAAACCCTTTGAACGCACAGTTTCCCATATTGTTGAATCGGTGATCAATGTTAATGGGTATTGTGCACTTTGAGCTTTGTGGTGTGTTTGTTTTGGGTTAATTAAAAGCGTTTGGTTTTGGGTTTGAAGGAGGAGGAAAAATGAGGAAGTTTCTTTAAGGGTTCTTGATGATGGTAGATGGATGACTATAGCCAGCACAAAAAGGCATCAAATCCTTTTCTTCAATGTGATCCGGAGAATCAGATTGTCTATTGTATTGGGTATGCATGGATTGGTGGACTTTATAGTGGGGTGGCCCCACTTTGCTTGTATTATTTTAGGAAGGAACTACACCGGATTACCATTAAGTACGTGGATCAATTGATATTATTGTTCCGGCTTAATTAGTGGTCTCGAGTTTAAGTTATTAAGTATGTAACTGTATTATGTGATCTTACCTAACTCGAATCAGACTAATTAAGTAATTCATAAACCGTGCTGTGTATAGAATAGATATATAAGATAAAGGATTAATTGCAAAAGTAATCATGCTAATACCGAGTATCTTTTTCATAAAGATTGAGTATCAATATTTATGGAGCTATATATAAGTAATAATACCTAATTCACTAGTGTACCATTTTTATTTGGTTTTAAATTAAAACTTAATGAATTTATTAATTTGAATTACAAAAATAAAGGCATTAACGATTGAGTATCTCCTAAACGCTTATTTGTTATGGTATGTATCACATAATCTAATTCATTTATATATTTGTCGATTGTTGCAAATCTCCTAATTGAAAACAACCAAATTAGGACAAATAATCAACAGAAGATTCGTGAATCTCTTGTCATCTTTCCAACGCTCTAAGAATCAAGTGCATCCTTATAGGGAAAGGTATAATTTATTAAGATATGTATAATAGAGTATTCCAAAAAAAAAAAGGTATGTATAATAGAAAAAATATTTTTTAAATAATCAGTGACCAAATTATTTATTTTTCTCCTCTTAATAAGTTTTTATAATTAAGAAATCAAATTTTCCATAAAGATGGTAGTAAAACTTTCCTTACGATTATTGAATAAGGTAAGATAACAAGATTCGATGCTTAAAATTTTAGGACACCAATTTAATTTGGTTAAATTATTTTTTTCTTCCTTTTACTAATTTTCCGTTATATAATAAGGAATCAAATTTTCTATAAAGATGGTAATGCCACTAACCTTGAGATTATTGTAATAAGTTAGGACATTGCTTGGTCACCAATTAGGAACAGGAGTAATGCTCAAAATTTTAGTATGCCGACTTAATTTGGTTATATTTACACACGTTTTCTTTACACGTACTCTTAATGCATAAATTGGGCTTAATATCTTTACGAAAGTTGTAGAATTTTATTTTTTTTTCCTTTTCATAGACATTTAAATCAGCTAAATCCAAGGTACATTGCAAAAGTTACTGTCAAAATAACGCAACAAAGTTTAAAGGCTTTTTTTTTAATGAGAATTTTGATATATCTGATCAACTCAAGTTTTTATAAAAAATCTGTAAATCCTATAAAATAAATAAAACGTATATAATTTTATAAGGCATAAAAAATTTATTTATAATGAAAATTAAGGGATTTTTAATAAAATACCAGAATCTATATTAAATTAAGTATAAAATGTTTGGAAGGGAACATGATTGGAGGTCAACGGTCGTTCATTTAACTTTGCTTTAGAAAGGGGACCCACTTTTCACCGTCTGGCATAAAAGTGAGAGGGTGGTGTAAAGGTTTCAATATTAAAATGGAATAAATGGTGGATTCATTTTCATTCATGGGGTTTGTTATTCACTTTGGCGTTGCTTTAGAAAAGGGACCTACTTTTCACCGACTGACATAAAAAAGATGAATGGGTGGTGTAAAAGGTTTTCAATATTAAAATTAGTACATTTAATAAATTAAATAGTTAATTTCATAGCGGTTTGCTAGAAGGAATCTTGGCGAAGGATAAGGATTCAGGTTGATCTAGTTGATAATGAGAGGTGAACAAAATTGATTTGGGCTAGTGAAAAATAGAATCCTAATTAAGCTTCCAAACTCAGGTTATAGCTCATTGTGTCATGAAATAAGCAGATGAATTTATTAACAAGGGATGTAAATGAATTGGGACATGTTAGACTTTAATTTAAATAAATGAAAAAAAATTTAATTATACAAGTTAAATTATAAGTCCGGTCAAATTTATAATTAAAAATTAAAAAGTCTGACGTAAATTTAGATAATTATATTTTTCATGTTATTGTAAAAAGAATTCTTCTGCAAAAGATATATATATATATAAACAGTGGCGGATTCAGGATATTTTTTTATGTCTACACAATTTTTTTATTTTTTATTTTAAAGATCATGATCATGATTTAATTTTTGCTTCTACTTCAAAAGTAAAGTTTTGGTGAATCAACCAAAATTTTAAGAAAAAAATAGATAATGATAATTAAAAAAAATAAACACCACAAAAAGACTTTTGTAAAATATAGTATAATTGTAAAAGTTAATCGATCAAAAACCTACCTTTGTCGATGTCTATTTGATCCAAAGTTAAAAAATTACGTGAAAACTCCCGTGAGATTCTCGTCCACTTGATGAAGATTGAATTTCAGGAATGTTATGTTTATTAAGATTTGGAGCTAATAAGGTTTATATATATATATATATATATATATATATATATATATATAAAAGACAAAGCAATGGATAGGGTTTAAGTTTTAAGCTTTTAATTGTAGGGGTTGGGTTGGGTTGGACATATTTTTACCTATTTTCTTTAATCTTCCTATTGCTCTTTTTTTTTTTTTTTTTTACTTGACTTGAAGCACCATCTCATGTGAAAAAAAAAAATTCTTCAACTTTGTGTCTGCAAGTGCAGACACTGGCACTAATGTGCGTCCGCCGTTGTTTATAAGGATACGATGTTAGATCCTGATATATATTTTTTTTAAAATAAATCAACGAATCTCATTTTGTTACGTCTGTTACAAAATTTTACTTTATACAACAATTGCAAAAAAAGCGAACCCATACATTTGTGGGAGAAAATATCTAATGTTACTTTACACAACTTTATCTAATGTTTAACTAAAAGACAAGTCAGGTCGTTTTGGAATGTTTACACTGATTTATCATGTACTTTGCGAGTACTGTTTCGGGAGCTAGACATTTCCGAACGAAAAGATTTTTATATGTACGTAAAGCCCTGAATGTCTAGTTTTTTAGTAGCAAAGCAAATTTTTGCAAATTTTTGTATTCGTATTTTTCATAATATTTACAAGACAGTAACGTCTGCCAGGGAAGTACTATTTTAGCAAGTTAAGAAATAAAGAAAGAATACTCTGATTTTTTTAAGGAACCATATTACCATTATAAGTTTTAATTAGCAAGATCAAAACGAGTTTTCGGTTGTAAAATATAACAAAAGAACTCTAATTCCGCTTAGCAAACATCTCTCTTGGAAGCCTACAGGGGAGGATGTTACACTAATTGGTATCTTATTTTGGAGTTGAAAAATTAAAAAATTAGATTATAAATACTATTATAACCTGAAATAAATTAAAATTACAAATATATCATGATTTCAGTTCTAAAATGACATCGTTTCGGTGAACGTTAGATAAAATTATCTAAAGTACTCTAGAAAAAATCCTAAATTTATAAGTAAGAACTTTTACATCAGTATAAAATTTTTGAACAGTTTCTCTATTGGAACTCCAAACACAGAATTACAGAAACAAGAAAATGAGGTTTCTTGCTTGCATGATTTACCACTAAATAATTTTATTTGTGAATTATATTGTTTCTAATTTTATATTTACTATATATTATTATATAAATTTAATTTAATCGGTTGAATTAATTATATATTGCACCAATGATTCTTTCATTTTATCTCGATCGAGGCCCGAGTTTAATAATATTACTACGTTGAATCAATAATTCGGTGTCTCTTATTAGTAAAATTACAATAATCTCCTTTGGAGAAATGATCAAACATCAAAGACTGCATGTATTAATTTTGAATATTATTATAATGATATTGTTTTCTTCCAAATAAAGACCTGTGTCCATTAGTTCACGAGCTTAAGTCGGTAATTCGAAACAGGAATTTATTCATATTCTGGGGGAAGTTCTCTTTCCCCCTACCTAGCAGCATTGTGATAGCCCTACACCTTTCGGTGATAGTTGATTACAATTTGAAACTTGGCTTATAATGATGAAGTCTGCTGGATTAAATCAACTCTATTACCTGTGAAATTCCTTTATTCTTTAGTTATTTCAGGTGAGTCGGACTCCAGATATTTTTGTAAGCTTTAAATTTGTGAGATGATTATGAAACTAATTTTGAATCGGAAGTTAATAATAGTTAAAAAAATTTGTCCCTCTTCAAAATATATTTAATAAAAATCGAATTCAATTTTTTTTCCAGCTACTCATGTTGTTTTGTCAACTAAACTATACAATCGATTCTTTTTACTTTAGCTGTAGGACAACAGGAATTGAGGTCATTTGGTTTAGGTTCACGATGGTTGGACTAACTTTTGAGTAAATGACGAAAAGATTTGGAAAGTTGTATAAAAGAAAATATTACTCTCATTTTACATTATAGTAATTATCTATGTTATAGAAAAAAATTAAGTGGGATCTATTATTAAAGGCAAAAAAAAAAGGATGAAATTTTTAAAGTGAAAAAATAAGATTAATATTTCCCTTATATAAATACCACAACTATAACACACTTTAAATTATAAGATGTAATTTTATGACTTTCGGTTATCCATTAATGTTTGCAGACTGGCTTTTTTTCTGTCATGTACATTAATGCCTGACCAAACTAATTAATTAATTATAGTCGTGATTTTGTGGACTAGTCCAATCTTCAAAGCGTGAGATTATTATCCAAAAAAAAAAAAGCGGGAGATTATAAGTACTACACATATGCATGCATATGTCTAATCAAGGTTTAATAGAATTAATGGCCAATAACGGCATTATAATGATGGAAAATTGAAGGAACTTAAATTTCGAAGTTGCTATTGAAAGCACACCGTTACCTCAAGTACGGGTTAGCTTTATTCATCATATGCTAAAGTGGGAGAAAAACTTTAATATAATGAGTGCTCCCTTTT